CGAGTGAGGAGGGTGAGGGAGGACAGTAATCTGATTGTTGACACAAAACTGACGAATTGACGAAACTGCAAGAACCTGCGGTGTTATTCTGTAACATGGTACGGCAACTACGAGCATAAGCAATAACCTTCAACTTTTACAATTTTTTTAGTAACTGTCGTTAATAATATAGCAAAAAGTATTAATCAGATTTACATAAAATGTCATAAAAAGTTAAACATAAATGTTTCTGTAAAAGTTACACTTTATCTTGTGATATTTTTTGTGGCTATGAAGTTATAGCATTGTAAGAAAATTACAGAATACAACCCCTGGTCCCTTTTTGCGGATATTTTTACGTAAAACGCCTTGATAGTAGGTTCACTGTTTCACTTTGAGACAGGAATTCAAAATACACAATTTCGAAAAGTCGAAAAAAACAGTGAGCATCACTTTAACATTGGATCGAAACTAACGTGCTTTCTTAGAGCGTGGAGATCCTTTGTCAGTCCATTCTGATGATTGAACCTTTCTCTCAATATAGTAGCCGCAAATCAGCTTTCGTCTCCCGTTATGGTCCTTTAAATAAATGTTTCATAGTAATTGGATCGTTCAACAAACGTCCACACGATGAAATGAAAATTTTGCTAACTCGATACATGTTCAATTTTGCAGTCTAAATTTCATAGCATGACCCAGTTGAGATGCTAACTTCTTCTGCAATTTTTCTAACAGTCAATCGGCAATTTGCACGCTCTTGACTTTTCGATTGTGGGAATCATCAGTGGACGTCGAAGGCTTTTCTGGTCGAGGATCATCTTCAATCGACTGACGACCACTTTCAAATCGTAAAAACCATTCGTAACATTGTGTACGACCCAGAGAATTATCTCCGCAAGCTTGTTTCAAAAGTTGAAACGTTTTTGTGAAAGTTTTCCTCAGTTTCATGCAAAATTTTAAGTTGCATCCCTGTTTCAGAAAATCGTACATTCCAAAAATCATCATTAACATTTAAACACAATTCACTCAAATTACAGTATCGCGAAAACTAAACAAGATATCAACAGTCCAAGAACATGTGGTTACAGAGGAGGTTATGCGCAACGCAATGCTGCCAACCGCATATCACTAAATATCTATAAAAAAGTTCAGTTATTTTCTGACTGTTTCAGAATAACTTACTACAGATTTTAAAATAGAATATTAAGAAATGTAATTTTTTTATTTTTTTTCCTTATTATTTCACAATCTGTATAAATTAAATATGTCTACTTGAACAAAAAAAAAATAACTTTTAAAGGAATTGTTCCTGACGAACTCATCACCAACTTCTACGCTTTTTCTTGAAAACGAAGTTGTTTAGCGAATTTATTCAAGAGCAAATTTATTGTGTAGAATTAGAAACAGATAGATCAGAATGTAGCAAGAGAGTAAGAGAACACATTTTGTAAAATCAATTAACGGATGATAAATCGAGGAATTTTGGAGGCCAGCGTATTTTGTATAAATCCGTGCAATCTTCATAAATATTTTTTTACATTTTCACAATGTCTGCTGATGCTTCATCATGTTGAAGCCACCAGTTTCTTCGTAGTCGTATTGGCACTTCTTCCAGTAGACCTGGTGATGTAAAATAATTCATATTATACTCTACGCTGAGCGTAATATTTATAGAAACACCAAAAACCAATTAGTAGAAATTTACTGATAATACCACATACTATACATTTATACCGATTAGTTTTTACTTAAGGGGGATTTTAAGTGGTTAATAATGTGTAATGAGTGTCCAATTCTTTGTATTGAACCATAAAAGACATTTAGTTCTCATTCTATAACATTCTATATTATTAAAAAAGTGACATACCTAAGCCATCACATTATCATTGCTAACAATTTTTCTTTTTCGAACACAACTTTTTTCTTTTGCTTATTTTAGTGTAATCCTCTTAATTAGATACTTGGCGTTTGGGGTATCGTATCTATAAAGCCGGTGTGCTAATTTCGAATTTTCTAGAGATTCAAAAATCAGAATCATCCTATTTTTTCATTATGAGTACCTAATCAGTTTTAAAATAAATATAATACATTTGCACATAATTAATTAAAAAACAAAAATGCTCACAACAGTTGAAGGTGATTCATGGCGATAATGAATATAAACATTGAAACTGTTGTTTTCTATGACGAAATCACTAAAATAACAAATTTGATTGAGCCAGTGTAAACACTTTCTGCTTTATAAAATCTGTAGTACAAATTCTTACAATAAGAAGTTACCTTACTAGGCCAGGAAAAAGAGCTGGGAAATGACCATTTTGCGACTTTTTGTTTCGGCAAGCTGAATTGATCACTATAGATGCTAAATATTATGTATTATGTACATATTAGTTTCCACAGTCATAAAAATGGGGGGAAGATTAGATTGTTTACAGGGTGGTTAATTGTATAATTTTAAATTTTTTTTTGGCATCGCATCCTTTCATTCCTTATTACTATCTAATAACTCACACGAAATCTGGAATCGGTAAGTTGAATAGTTTACAAACAAATTAACTAATTATTAGTCTAGTCTAGACGGTTCCGAGCATCTTCCACAATCGCACCGATTTTTTTCATGGTAGATTTCATAATAATACATTGAAGTGTATCATTTTTTTAATTTCAAATTATAACCTCGAAAGTTTTTTATTTTTTAGCCTTAGTTGCAAAATGAAATATACGACGCACGCGCGTGATATAGTTATATATTATTACATATTCGAAAAGCTTATGAAAAGAGCTTTAAGTTAAAAAAAATGGTCAAGATTCGTTAAAAAACAACGGAGTTAGAGATTGTCAAAGTTGACGGCCTATTGTTTAACAAATTAGGTTGGTAACGGCAAAAAAAATACTATCATAACCAGCAACCCGAGTACCTACTTTCCCAGATAAAAATATTTTATTTGTGGAAGTATGTTAAGTGCATAAGAAATTTTGTCAAACGTCAGTGGGTCACTTGATTTTTCGGCGAGCCGTGGCGCGGCGGAAGAGTGGGGGAAGCGAACGACGGCAAGCATCGCATTTGAAAAAACTCGTTCTCGCTCTTCAAAATCGTTGGCACAACTAGAACAGAACTATTTACGATAAATCGATCATTTTTTTAAATTTGATACTACGTTACGAAAGGAATCTATTGGAATTGCTCAAAATTACGAAAAATCATGAGAAAAGTCATTGATCTCATTAAAAATTATAAGTGAAATTATTGTTGCATTTTTATTCAGGGAAAGATTGAGAAATTATTTATCTAAAGGATAAATGATGTTTTATAACGTACACAAATATTATAATTATGTTTTTAATGAAAATGAGACATTTTATTAACGATATGGCAAGTATAAATATTATCTTATTACTTCTTTGCATTAAAATTTTAAAAGTAAGTTTACGTAAGAGAAAGCAGAAAGCAGAAATTTTGAGCAATTCCAATAGATTCCTTTCGTAATGTAGTGTCAAATTAAAAAAAATTATCGATTTGTCGTGAATAGTTCCCAAGAAAAGTTCTATTCTAGTTGCGCCATCGATTTTTAAGAGCGAGAACGAGTTTTTTCAAATGCGATGCTTGCCGTCGTTCGCTTCCCCCACTCTTCCGCCGCGCCACGGCTCGCCGAAAAATCGAGTGACCCACTGACTTTTGACAAAATTTTTTATGCACTTAACATACCATAAATAAAATATTTTTATCTGGGAAACTACTCGGGTTGTCGGTTATGACCTAATATGTTTAACAATAGTCAATTTTGACAGTCTGTAACTCCGTTGTTTTTCAACGAAACTTGACGTTTTTTTTTTAACTTATAGCTGTTTTCATAAGCTTTCCGAATATGTAATAATATATAACTATATCACGCGCGCGCGTCGTATATTTTATTTTGCAACTAAGGCTAAAAAATAAAAAAACTTCTGGTTTCAAATTTGAAATTACAAAAAAAAAAAGGATAGATTTCAATGTATTATTATGAAATCTACCATGAAAAAAATCAGTGCGATTATGGAAGATGCTCGGGATCGTCCAGACTAATAATTAGTTAATTTGTTTATAAGGCCATAACTTGTAAACTATTCAACTTACCGACTCCAGATTTCTGTGAGTTATTAGACAGTGATAAGGAATGAGAGGATGCGATGCCAAAACGTCCTGGTAATAATAACGCAATTTATAAATGTTTAATTCAAAAGTCATAAATAAACTTCTGCTGTTTATAACTTTTGATCTAATCAATATTTTTTGACGCCCAAAGGCTAGTTTTGTAGGTATTTTGAAGATGAAAAAAAAAGTACTTTACTGTTTTCTCGTGGAAATGAACGGAAAAAAGTTATAAGCGAAAAACGTGAATTTACGTAAAAATTATACAGTTAACCAGCCTAATATGCTATTGTACATAGCATCTATAGTGATAAATTCAGCTTGCCGAAACAAAAAGTCGCGTCCAACTCTATATTTCCTGGCCTATTACATAATTTGTCATATAGTTAATTTCTGCTAAAATACTGAGGTTGATTAAGGTACAAAATTATAGCCAACTGTATAGTCAGAAAGAGACTGATTAATTTTATAATAATAATAAATATTATTGTTCTCATCGGAAGATCCTATATATTTTTACATATTTGGAAAGAAAAGATAGAACTTTTCTTAAAAAATGCATTGATATGGGGTTATGAGGTTTACTGGATTTATCTCATTTCGTAAATAAATAGGTATGTCCAAAAGAGTTTTAAAGGCTAATTATGTGTGGTAAATATTTTGGCACTATCTTTTAAAGACGCAATATCAAATCTAATATCGTGACTATGCGTACTCGTGAGAAAATGCTTCAAAATTTTAAAAATATGCAGGGCGTTTTGTTATCCTACATATTACAACAATTGTAAATAAGTCCCATTTTCAATCAAATCGGCACAATACTCAACGTGACTTCTTTTCGTTGAGTATTTTCTGTATTATTATAGTTACAATATCAACATTTGTGTTTCAGAAAACTGGAGCTTCAAATATTTGTAAAGAAACTACAATAAAGTGGAAGAGTTACAGCGTAAAGATGGACCTTTACAAAGAAAATATGGGAGAAAAATTTCAATATTTTATTACTATTAAATATTAATGACTACTTATCTACATATAAAACTGTAGCAGTCGAAGATGAAGTTAGGCAATATTAAAAAATTTGTACATTGTTATATTTGCATTAGTATTTATAATTTTAAGGCATTGTTAACGAAGTAAGTCGAATTACGGCAATGTTTAGTGCTAATCTGTAATTAAAATTTTCAGATGATCAAGTGATAGATGAGGTGTTCTTAAGGATTTTTATTTATTGCAATTTTAAGAGAACCTATATTTGACATATTGTGAGTGAATATAAGCTAATAAAATTGTAAACATTGTTAATTAAATTGAAGTTGAATTTTTATGCAATGATTGAAAGGTTGTGTTAATAAAAATAAATTACTAATAAATATTAGTCAATGAATTCAGCAATACAATATTGTTATTTGGTAATTTACATATTATTTCCGTTATTATTAAATTAAATTTTTATTCTTCTGGTAACTTGTATTAAAAATAATTTTAAAAATATATACAGATACATCTGCATAAATATCTCTTATTTTCGCGTTACAGAATTTATTTTTAAATTTACTGGAATAGCATATCTTTTATTTCAGTTGTAAAGTAACCGAGATATAGACTAAACAAGGAATGAAAGAGAGCAACAAGAAGTAAGTATATACAGGGTGTCTGCGAAAGGTTAGGAAATCTCGAAGCTTAAGATACTGGTGGGCAAAATAAGTCGATTGAGCCAAATATGGCTTATGCAAATATTAAGGAGAGAACGCATAAGGCGGTCGCGGTTCCGTTGCGTCGTATCGCGGTCCATTCTAGGCTGAGCTGATCACGGTCTTTTACAAAGTCAGTCGCATTTGGCAATTGCACACAATCCTGCTCGCGCTCTCCGTTAAATAGTTGCGGTATTGTTTTAGTAGTTAAGAAAATGAGTTCTATGGAAGAGGAAGCTCGTCTCCATCGCGTCGCGGTCTCCCGAGATTCTTTGGAAAAGATCGGAGGAAAACGCGATGCGAGCGAGACGAGCTCGCTAATGTAGTAGTAGGATTATATTCGATGTCGATGCAAGGTAATAAATTATTGCTTGTCAAGGGATCCAGTGTAATACGCTTTTAAGGGGTTTAGAAATTGAATAATTTATTTATACATTATGAAGGTACGAAGGGATCAGTTCACGTCTGGCACCCTTGTTCCTACAAAATTCCTTTATTCTCATAAACTATTTATTTTAAATGTAATTTATTATAAATCCAATTTGGTTTTTAAATTCCACATATGTACTACATTTTACCACTGTACGCGCCATTGTTGTTTACTTTTTTTTTGAGGGCGATCTCTGATTTACGGCCAAGCTCGCAAAGTTAGTATTTGACGTATAACCGACCACTTCGTACACTCGATGCACCTGGGCGACTACAGCTACTACCATAACACAGTGCGTATGGAACGGTATTTCAGATTTTACATTCAATTTCATTTTAAATGTGATACGATTTTCCTTTGATAAAAGACCGACAATTTTTCGCTCTACTTTGCATCGAATACGATCCTACTATAGTGCGTGCGAATGTATATACAGGGTGGGCCACCAGTAACGCCCCGGTCGCTAGTGACCAAACGGCAAATGTTACAGAAACCTGTTTAGGTGGGTATGTGTAAGTTGATTACGGCTACATTTTAAAAATATTTTGAAATATACAGGGTGTCCAGGAAAAGCGTACCATATCAAAGTTATGTATTTTTAAATGGAACACCCTGTATTTTACTGCATTTTTGAAAGCACCGTAAAAAAATAGGTGAACTAGGACTAGGACTATAGTCCTAGTTCACCAGACTTATCCATTTATTACTAAATTTTCGATTTAAATAATTTCTCACTGAATATGAAAAATGTGCAGGTGTGCCATCTATTTGCATGCACATTTTTCTCCTTATATTTAAAGAGACATCATCAAGAAGAACCCAAACCAATGCAGTAAAGACCTCGATAGAGACACGTGGATACATCTTACAAAAAAAATCGATAAAAAACGAAACGGCACAAATATCTCCAATACCGTTAGAGATAGGTATAGGGAACCTATACACAGTTTGAAAGAGTTTTAAATTTCCCAACTCCCAAAGTAAAAATATACTGGGTGTTCCATTTAAAATAACCAAGTTATTGCTGTTTAAAGTTGAGAGAAGTATTCAGCAGTTTTTTGAACACCCTGTATAATACTAAGTGACGACAAATATAACAATTTATAACTTCAAGGATCTAAAATAGACCCTCCAAAGCTGCTTCCTTAAAATTATTTTTTTATTGCTAATATTAAATTTCTACGCTATGCCTGCATTTTCACTAAAATTGAAATATCTCACAAACTGTAAGTCCTAGGTATGCAGAACCTTTAATAAAGTTCACCTATTTTTTTACGGTGCTTTCAAAAATGCAGTAAAATACAGGGTGTTCCATTTAAAAAAACATAACTTTGATATGGTACGCTTTTCCTGGACACCCTGTATATTTCAAAATATTTTTAAAATATAGCCGTAATCAACCTACACATACCCACATAAACAGGTTTCTGTAACATTTGCCGTTTGGTCACTAGCGACCGAGGCGTTACTGGTGACCCACCCTGTATTGTAAACCATGGGAAGGAAACTCCACCGCCCGCGATCGAGACTAGTACGGTCCGCGATGCGACTGGACCGCGACCTCCTAATAAGGGTACGAACATAGTGGCGCGACGAGGCTTCAGTGTCAGATAGAGTCTTACTGCAAGGCAAAAGACGTGCTCGACAAAGGGTCCATAGTGGCACGTCAACACGCGGGGCGACTTCTGGAATTCGGGGTCAACACATTAGATTGTTTACGTTCGGAAATAACTCATATTCACAAAAATGTATTCAGACAGTGAGGACGATATTATTTTGGACAGTTGTGCGGCAAAAGTAGTAGTAGTTAAGCAGTGGGCATTCTAGACCGTTCCCAGGCTAGCACCGGGCTGCCGCCATCCGGAGCCGGCACCAGGTCTTCAGCAGCAGCCATGGCGATGCTGTCCTCCAAGGTCACGCTGAAGAAGTGTCAGTGGGGTGCGGGGATGAGGAATCTGGATTGCAGAAGAAGCCGGGGCTCGTCATACGCAATGACCAGGAGGTCGGTATCGAGGAGTGCGACGTCAGAGGCGGAATCAGGTGCGTTCATGGGCAGCGGTGGAGGGCAGCGGGGGTGCAGGTGCGGAATACAGAAAAAGAAGCCGGGGTCCGTCATCGGCAATGACCACTAGGAAGTCGGCATTGAGGAGCGTGACGTCAGAGGCGGCACCAGGTGCATGCATCAGCAGAGGTGGGGGGGNCGCAGGGCGACTTCTGGAATTCGGGGTCAACACATCAGATTGTTTACGTTCGGAAATAACTCATATTCACAAAAATGTATTCAGACAGTGAGGACGATATTATTTTGGACAGTTGTGCGGCAAAAGTAGTAGTAGTTAAGCAGTGGGCATTCTAGACCGTTCCCAGGCTACCACCGGGCTGCCGCCATCCGGAGCCGGCACCAGGACTTCAGCAGCAACCATGGCGATGCTGTCCTCCAAGGTCACGCTGAAGAAGTGGCAGTGGGGTGCGGGGGTGAGGAATCTGGATTGCAGAAGAAGAAGCCGGGGTTCGTCATACGCAATGACCAGGAGGTCGGTATCGAGGAGTGCGACGTCAGAGGCGGCATCAGGTGTGTTCATGGGCAGCGGTGGGGGGCAGCGGGGGGGCAGGTGCGGAATACAGAAAAAGAAGCCGGGGTCCGTCATCGGCAATGACCACTAGGAAGTCGGCATTGAGGAGCGTGACGTCAGAGGCGGCACCAGGTGCATGCATCAGCAGCGGTGGGGGGCAGCGGCGTGCATGCGAGGCGGCAGCGGGATGCCGACGTGCGGGGAGGTAGCGAGATGCCTGCGTCAGGGGGCAGGGAGCGGGATGAGTAAGCAGGCGGTCGAAATCGGCCTGAGATGCTGGAAGCCGGCGGCGGGGGGCGGGGGCGGCGGCGGCAGCGGCGACGGCCTCTTGTTACCAATCTTTTTGTAATAAGGTAGAAAATATAAGAAACGCGATAGTTAAAAAATGGCAGCATGGTAACGTAAGCGGTCTGCAATATTTATCGAGCCAAGTAAACAGGTTCGAGTCTCAAGGTTATAATTCTGTGAGTCAGCGAGTTGAGTGTGGTACTAACATAAATATTGCGCTGATATATTATATGGATTCTCAGAACATAACTTCAAGCGTGAGGAATTAAACGTATGTGATAGTTTGCAAGAGGAGATAGTTTAAAGCGACACATGTGTATCCATAATCAGCAGACAGAAGAGGTAACAAACGTAGAAGAACATAACTTGAAGCGAAAGCAGGTGCGGCTGTTTGCCGGCTGCTTTAAGCATGTCACCACAAGTTTGTCTAGAGTCTGGAGACTGGAGCGCGGTATAAACATTAAAGGATAGTGATAATAAATAATGTGATAAGTTATTATGTTGTTGTTGTTTCTAAGAAATACTTGATAAGAACATGGTTCTATAACGGATGTCGGCTAAACTCAAAGAGCGGAATGTGTGGATGATGATCATGATGTCATAGTCATGAGGTCATCTATTTTTCAGTGGCGACAGCGAGATGCAGGCCTCTTAGTACCAATCATTTGTTATAAGCGAGAAAATATAATAAACGAGCGCGTTGGATTAAGATAATAACATGATGATGATGTAACTTTTCCTGGAATGTGGCCACAGCTGTGCGTATGACTAATACCAGATAAGATGTTAAAATAAACAAAGCGGAGGTTTCAGATAAAAATTGACTAAAACTACTCATGGTAAAAAATATTATTTAAAAAAATAAATCCCGTGTCGAATGAAATATCAGCACATACGAGTTGTTTGGTTTTAGCGTTTTGTTTTAAGATTACATATTCTCTGTTGAATATATAAAGTTTTATTTTTAAATGTTAGAAACATATTTGTCCTGCTTCATATGAGAACGTGACATAAAACGATATGATTAAACAAAGTTTAATCATATCGTTATTATCGCATAAAATAATTTACGCCGATAATCGAATATTTACGTATAAATATCAGTTGGGAAAGGTTAGTTTATGCTATTATTAGAGTATGCATATACAGGGTGTCCACCGGAAGGCGTTTTAAATGGATTTTACATTTGAATTATTTGAAAAAATAATAGCAGCTATTTTTTATTGTAAAGGTTGGTATGACTCACGTTCTTGGAAAACAATCATCACCATTTCCACTCCAGGTATTGTATGATTTATTACCCTTTTCTTGGAATTTTGTCTGGCTTTTAAACAGGTTTCAACCTGCTGCTGTGATCCTGGCGTGGGAGCTTGTAGATAGGACGATGATGAAATATTTTATAATGTTACACAATATTGTGTGTAATGGATTTAACAGCTCAG